TCCCTATCACTCCTCCCTGAGAGAGACTTCACCCTGATTCATAAGGAAAAGGGGATGGCGTATTCTCTTAGCTACTTCCTGCTGAAAAGGGACGTTGGGGGTTTCAGGGTGAAGATCTTCTCTCACTACTCTAAAGGGCCCCCTTGGCAGTAGGAAACACATAGACTATTATAGAGGTTGATTTTGGAATTCAGATGCACTGTTATTAATTGTGCTTAGCTGTACATGTTCATATCCTTGAAGATGTATCATGGAGACAACACAGAATATTAATGCATGCACTGATTGAATATTGAGTGATTGAGTGAATTCTTTCTTTTTCCTTCCCCACCCCATCTAGGACTCAGTTTTTCCAATATATAAAAAACCAGATCTCAGTCTGTATTTGTATAAAGAAGATCTTTCGCCTTGTAAATTTGACTTCCAGCTGAATAAAATTTTTCGACTGCATGAACTTCCAGTGAGCTGGTAGGACATTTGACGTTTTACTATCACATATGAACTATGGTTATCTTATAGCTGTTCATGGTAGAAGTAGCACAGAATGAATCTGCTTAGAGTTATTGCAAGAATCTTAAAACTAATTTATTTAGGCACTTGGTGGCAGTATAGACTAAGTGCACCTTTGTGCATATTTATTCAGTAAAGTGCTTGAAGTGCCAGCCAACTCAGAATAATAATATAGTAATAATTTTTAGGGAATTTTTTAGGATTTCTTTTAAGAAAGAGTTCCACAACTATTAATGTCATTTGTTGATTTTACTTATCAATTTTGCCAGTGTTCTTCCCTAGGTGCCCCCAACAAATTATCATTTATTTTGAGGATTAGAATTCAGCTTACTATTTGAAACCTATTGAAAATAGACTTTTCAATGAATTTGCATGATTATAATAACAGGAAACACTTTAACTCTTATGTTTAATATTCTAATTAAACATTTTTAAGGAAAATTATTATTCCAAGGCCTCTGTATTCTATAGTATTTGAATGGTGCCTTAAAATTTTATAAAGTCATCTTAATTTTTATTTTCAGGTAAAGAGTATTATTTTCTGGCAGTTGTTCATGCAATCTCAACTGAAAGTATGACAAACTATGTTTATTTCTATTATACTTAATGAAGACTAATGTCTCAGAATAAGATGTTAACCCTATCAAATAATTTTCATATGATTTATTGTGATTAAGGTTGGATACTTTTATCATTTGCAAAATTTCGCTTGCTACTATCTAAACCTGGGAAACAGGCGTGGCATTCACTTCCTAAACAACATGCCTCTGGAAACTCTATGAACTTTGATAAATGTTAGTAGTTATAGAAAGGCTTTAGGCCTTTTGTTCATAGGGTCACTATGAGTTGTGCTCTATTCAAAAGCAATCAATAACAACAACTATGTAAACCCTATTGTTTTCTTTTTCTTAGTGGGAAGCATACTGCATATGGTCTGTTAATTAAGAGCTCTGTAGATACAATCCTGTCTGTCATGACAAATACTAGTAGGTTAATGGATTGTACAAGTTGATTAATTAAGGGAACGATACAAATTATATGTTCCTACTTATGTATTCTATTTCAGTTTATACGTGTGCTAGTGTTTTGATATAAGGCTATAGCTTTTTCTTTACATTTTTAATTAAGTGTCTGCCGATGGAATTCTGTCATATTTTTGTACATATCATACCATTAATAACAATAATTTAAATTTGTGGGGTGTTTTAGGCTAAAGCAAGAACTTTAGACAGTTGGGTGATCTCATCACGCACTGTGGTTGTTATGCGCCATTGAGTCAGAACTGACTTCTAGCTGATCCTTCAGTGGGTTTGCAGAGGCAGTTAATTGTACAGGATTAGATTTCCCATCCTCTCTCCTTCAGCCCCTGGTGTATTCAAACCATGCGTTTGAGAGATTGCTGTGCAGCTTCTTTCTACCAGGCCTCAGAGCTCCATCATTAACCAACAGCATTTATTTTGTTTTCGTATGAAACAATTCTCTTTATCACACTAATGTTTTTCATCTTGATGAAAATACTAGCCAAGATAACCAACTTAGAAAAGGGTATGGGAGCAAACTCCTGTAATCTTGACCTCTGGGCAGTGGGAGCAGAACCATTAGACATAAACCTGGCCTGAGAGCTCTGAGCAATCACCAACACTACTAGTGCCTTTTGTACAGCGAATGGATGTTGATCGATCTAGTGTTTGTTAAGTGGGAGTTAACAGAAAAGCTTCTGTTAAATGCAAATGTGCAAAAGGGAAAGACAGAAACATTTAGCTCCTAGTCAAAGGCAAAATTGTAGATTTTAGCTTAATTTCCAACCTTTCGAAAGACAGCTAGCTGTCCTGAAAACAGCTACTACAACCCAGGGAATAATTTCTCTGTCAGGATTTGTACTGGTAAGCTATTTGGAGAGAAAGTTAAAGCATTATGAGTTAGGCAGCAGAAACAATCACTAGGAGAAAAAAACAACAACAACCCTGTACTTCTAATCTCCTTGAGTAATATCCTTTAAAGGAAGTTAAGCCATTACCTCAAGTCAGCTCTTTCCCTGAGCTGCTCTTTGTATCTCTTCTTCATGCCCAATTTGTCTGTTTCTACTTTTTCATCCCTCTCCTTCTCCTCCGTGTGCTCATTTCTCTTTCACTTACTTAGTCTACTGTTCCTTTTTCTAACCTCTCACTCTATTCTCTGAAAAATTTTACTAGCCATAATGTAAAAATAACTGTAAAATTTTCATATTCCCTAATATTTTCATATTCTCTAGTCTTAATTTCAAAAGTATATCAACTGAATGGTCTCTGTTTATCTCTGTAGGCATGGCACTAATAGGCTTGGGGTGTTTAGAACTTTTTTCCCCTCATTGGTACATGATAGACGGAGTCCAAATGTTGATAGAGTCTATTGTTGATAGAGTCACTATAAGCCGTACTTGGCTCAACAGCACAAAACAGCAACAACCACAAGGAAAAATTTGTTTTGTTTTATACATATTAGTGAATTTATTTATTTCCTTGAGTTTCTTAGTCAATTAGTGTCAATGTTAACAGAGTTTTTTAGCTATAGTATAAAAGATCTTAATACATTATGGATAATAATAATGGTAAGAATATAAATAATAATCATCAATTATGCTTCGCTTAGCGTGTGTGATAGTCAGGATTCAGTTAGCACATATATGTCATTTCTGAACTTTGTATTTCTGTAAGGCAGTTACTACTCTCTTTCTCACTCTCCTCCCAACACACATAGAAATATACACACATACGTAGGGAGCTTCAGAATAACAAAAAATGAATTTATATCAGGTCTGGTTAACTCCAAAACATACTACAGCTAGACAATAAACCAACCAAACTAATGAATGAAATAATTTTCATTAATAATTATTTTCAATGCTGAAATAATTTTTATAACTTAATATATACTTTTGCTAATAGTATACAATTTTTTGTCATATGACTTTGGCTGAAATATTTATTTCCTCTATACTCAAGCCTAGAATAGTTTCTTTAAACATAAATAAAAATAATTCATAAGATCACATTTCAGCCAGGAGGAACTAGTCCTTGGAGAAGGACATCACGCTAGGAAGGGTGGAGGGATATCACAGGAGAGGAAGAACCCGGATGAAAGGGACTGGCACAGTTACTGGGGCAATGAGATTAGGTGTGTCAGAGTCAGTGAGACTGGCTCAGAACAGGGCAGACTTCAGAGCTATTGTACATAATATCGCTAGTAGTCATGGGCAACTCAATGGCATATAATAAAACAACAATTTTTTTTAATGATATACCATTTGTTTAGAAAGCACAAACTTACCAAAATATCCTTTTTTATAATATTTTTCTAATCAAGTCATAGTAAGAAATGTTCTCATTACATGCTGAATAATTTAAAAAAATTTAATAGCGTACTAATTTGCATTTTTATAGAGGGCAATTCCTCAGGTCAAAGAACCAGAAGGATTTTAAATCAGATTTGTTAGGAGAGTTTTTAAGCACTGATTTAGGTGAATATTTTTCTCCTATTCATACAGAATATTTTCCATCAAACTACAAAATGTCTAAGGATTTTTTTAAATTTATAAATAATTATTTCCCTTATCTAGCAATCTTCTATTAAAAAGTGTGTTATTTATTCATATAATGCTAATTTTTACTAAAAAAATGAGAATGATCATGATTAATTAGCAATCTCCAATTGTCTGGTCTTGGAGAAGGTGCAGCCAGGGCGCTTCTTAGAAGGAAGGATGGTGAAACATCATTTCACCTGCTTTGTTTGATGTGTTGCTAGGCGAAGCCAGTCCTTGGAAGAGGATATCATGTTGTGAGAAGTGGGGGATCCGTGAGGGAAGGGAAGACCTTCGAGATAGATTGACATAGTGACTTTAACAATGGACTCTAATGTGTCAGATAGTGAGATTGCCACAGGATAGGTCGAACACAGAATAGAGCAGGGTTCAGGCTTCAGGTTGCATAAGAAGAATCAATACCTGTGAGATGTGGTGCTGAAATAAATATTGAACATACCATGGACCTCCAGGAGAACAAACAAGTCTGACTTGGAGAGGGTGAAACCAACTTTCTCCATGGAGGCTAGGATTTTGAAGCTCTGTCTCACGTACTTTGGGCATGTGGCTGGGAGGGACCAGTTCTTCGAGAAGGACATCATGCTTAGAATGGTGCAGAGACAGTACAGGAGAGGACGACCCTGGATGAGATGGATTGATATAGTAACCTGGGTAATAGAGGTGGGTGTTTTGGAGTCAGCGAGACTGGCTAAGGATAGGGCAGGCTTCAGAGCTATTGTACATAAGGTCGCTATGGGTCACTTTGAGTCTCAGGCATGTCAAAGGTACGTAACAACAAACAGCAGCAACATTGTGGGGTTTAGTCTACTACATGGCACTTAAGGACAACAATTACTCCTTCCGTTCAACTTCCATCTTCTCTGTTGCAATTGCTCTTTACTTTCCTTACTAGTTATTAACCACCCCCCTTTCATTCTGCCGTTGTCACTGCGTGTTGTTAATTGGGAACTGATTTGTAGCTAACCCTACAGTGGGCTTTCAGAGGCATTCAATGTCATGGGAGTTGATTGTCCTGTCTCCTGTGGAACAGTCTACCAGCGTGCAGATTGTCAGCTTGTCCCAGGTCCAACTTCATCATGCCATCCTGTCACCATTTACACTCCTCTCCTACAACCCTTTCTTCTTCAAGCTTTAATGCTTTCCATATGTCTATCCCATGGTTATATGTACAGCTCTCAACTTCTCCTTACATTATCATACCCTCCTCAAACTTGTGTTTCCCCTCTTAAAGCT